GGATACAGACCTGTAAACAGAATTTAATGTTAATTGCAAACAATGATCTAAATGTGTAAAAAGTATAGCGATCTTGCAGAGAGAGAGAATAATGAATTCTTGGGTATGGCAGGAAGATCAGAGAGGGATTCCTTTGGATCATTTGAGGTAAAATTTGAAGTTGGAATTAGGAGTTTGTCATCTGTATGGTAGCTATTACAAGTAGTGAGATCAGCATGTAGGACAGGAACAGATAGACAAACAGCATGGTGTGTTCAAGAAAGTATAAGGAGATGACTCATGTTGGGCATAAAGTGTGAGGATTGATAGATGAGGATTGTATTTCCTCTCATTGGCAAACGTTGTCTTAAAAAATAGCCTGGGAAGATTAATGAGATAGTAGAGGCAAAGATTAAATTTGGATATGATCACTGAGATTAATTGTAAAACTAGGATATATATTGTGTTTCTGTTTTGAAATGCATGTCTTCCTCCCTTCCCTCTTTCCTGTTCTTGAACTGTCCTCTTTCATGCTCTCCTCCCCGGTGTGTATGTATAGAGGCAGGATAATTGAGGGAAAAAGAGCTACAAATCAAGACCCTGTTTTTGTTCCTGGCTCTCATAACTTTGATTGGAAAAACCACTCTTTCTGTGTTTTGCTCTTCTTGTTCATATAATATGTGCAAACTTATATTGTTTATGCATATGCCTTTCCAAAGTTTTTTTTTTTTGAGAGTCACAGTTTCTGAGTGCCTGGAACACAGTATGTGCTCCATACATATTTTCAAATGAATGGTGTGATAACTTGTGTCAAAAAGTAAGAGAAAATAGTTGAGTCATGACAGAGTAAGCAGTAAAAAATTTATGCACATGCCCAGTGTTTCTCAGGAACGCTTACTATATAAAATGTGTTCAAGCCCTTTGTCATTAAAAATGTTTCACTAACCATGTAGATGCGTGAGGTCCTAGGATATAGAAACTATAGCATCTTTATACATAAAATTCTTTTATTGTCATATAATTAACATCTGTTCAATTGAGAATTATATATTAAAAATGTGTTTTGTTGATCATTTTCTTTCTAAATTTTGGTGTGGCAGTTCTCAGATTTGGATTCTTCAGCTTATGAATGTTTTCTCCTTAATGTAATTATAAGTGGACCTTTTTTCCTATATAATCTTTTTCTCAGTTCAAAACAAGTGTTTCTTATGCTATTTTTCCATTGTATTTGCAGAATGTTTGCTTTTGGTGCAAAGAATTATAAAAATCCATTTTAACGTCATAAGAGTTGCTGTAATATACCATTAATATCATTTCTTTACCTCTAGGGTTCCTACTGGGCAATAGATACCAATCCGAAGGAAGATGCGCTGCCTACTCGGCCAAAGAAGAGGGCACGATCTGTAGAACGGGTAAAGACGCTTTATAGTAAATTTAGTAAAATGCACTGAATATGTCTGAAATACAGATTTTGAAAGTTATTTTCCGGTGTAGCACGTGTAACTATAATGAAGGTAAGATTTTATTTGTGTAGCATTTTGCATTTTTCAGAACACTTTTCAGACTCATTTTATTTGATATTAACAACTCCGAGGGGCAGTTTAGGAAATAAGTAAAAGGTTTTGTCGTAATTAGGGCACAGCTGTTGTTTGAGACTTGAATCCAGCTCTTTTTTTTTTTTTTGAGGTGGAGTTTCACTCTTGTTACCCAGGCTGGAGTGCAATGGTGCAATCTCGGCTCACCACAACCTCTGCCTCCTGGGTTCAGGCAATCCTCCTGCCTCAGCCTCCTGAGTAGCTGGGATTACAGGCATGCGCCACCATGCCCAGCTAATTTTTTGTATTTTTAGTAGAGACGGGGTTTCACCATGTTGACCAGGATGGTCTCGATCTCTTGACCTCATGATCCACCTGCCTCAGCCTCCCAAAGTGCTGGGATTACAGGCTTGAGCCACTGCGCCCAGCTGAATCCAGATCTCTTGAGTTTTAATTTGGTATTCTAGCCTCTGCATCTACAACATTTAGGAATAGTTTTATGTAACACAACTATTCCCTTCTATTATAGAGGATCAGTTAGGTTACATTGAATTTTCCCCATTGTCCTCAAAATACCTTTTTCTGGTTCTGTCCATTTATTTATTTATTTTATTTTAATGAATGAGAGGTTGTTATGTTGCCCAGGTTGGCCTTGAACTCATAGCCTCACCTCCTCAAGCGCCAGGACAACTGGCCCGAGCCACCGCGGCTACTGGTTCTGTCCTTTTAATAGTCACGTTGTACACAACGTTTCTAAGTTGTGTGTGTGTGTATTATTCTTACTTGTGAATTCATGGTTAAAATTAATTTGCAAGAATGAAAGAAAAAAGGAAACTATAGTTAATATCCTGAGTTGTCTATTTTAACATATTTTTAGTCAGCACTTTGACTGCCATCAGCTTTTCACATCCTTTCTACATTTCCAGCATCTCAACTAAAACATACAAACACATATCCATCCTACCTTACTGTTCTTAAAGACCCATTTCAAATGTTAACTGCTTTGTGAAGCTTTCCCTTACCCTTCCATTTGTGTTCTTCTAGAATTTTTATAAAACTCTTTTATAGAATTTCTCACACTTTGTAGAAATTGTTTGTTTTTATGTTTGTCTCCTCTGCTGGAATATATGACCCTTAAGGGCAGATAAAATATCTTTTCATTTGTATCTCTAGTGTTACCATTTTTCATAGCTTATAATAAATACCAGTAAATGTTTTCAGCATAAATCAGGGCAAAGAGAAGAGGGTAAGATGAAAGAAACTGAGTAAATGCATGGCCAAATAAATTTGTTCTATGCCCATTCCAGGTAAAGGTTTAAAACTTTTGAGCCTCAAAGATAAAGATCTCAAACTGGGGTTAGGTTGAGATCACATGAGTCCATGAGGTATAACAGCATTGATATTTATTAAGGAAAATTTATTGGATTCAACAGAGGGAAATCAGTAAGCCAGTTATCAAGATACAAAAAATGAACTCTTAGGCCAGAACAACTTCTGACTTTATACAAACCAGAGCTTAAGAAGTTTAGTATCGGTGACATGATCTTCTGGTAACAGAGCTAGACAGCTTTTTTTTTTTGTTTTTGTTTTTGTTTTCAGACAGTCTCCTTCGATCGCCCAGGCTGGAGTACAGTGGCCTGATCTTGGCTCACTGCAACCTCTGCTTCCCGGGTTCAAGTAATTCTCTTGCCTCAGCCTCCCAAGTAGTTGGGATTACAGGTGCCCATTAACTGATTTTTGTATTTAGGATAGAGTTTCACCATGTTGGCTAGGCTCGTTTTGAACTCCTGACCTCAGGTGATCCGCCTGCCTCAGCTTCCCAAAGTGCTGGGATGACCCACCATGCCCAGCCAGAGCTATACAGTCTTAGAAGAGATGTTGATAAGCTCAGTATGTAATCATTTGAGAAGGAGTGAACATCAGTTTCTGCTCTCTGCCTTTGCCTTTTTTTTTTTTAACATTCCTCTCAGCTCATACCTAGCCTTTGCCTTTTAAAATAGGCTTAATGCATGAACATTATATGAATAAATAAGAGTATAAAACATTTAGTATCTGTTGCCAGAATTTGAAGGAAGGGGAGAAAAATCCACATTTTGAAAACACATAGCATCGTTAAACAATTTGGAAAGGATATTTGAAGGTCTGAATCATTGTGGTCTTCTCTATTTGCTTTTTTCTTTTGAAGGTCCTGGTATTTCAGTTATTTTTGGAAGTTGGAATTGGATTAACAACTGTGCATTTCTTTTGTATATTAAACTTGCCTTTTATTCTTGTTACCTTGTTTTATTTTTTTAAAGCAATCTCTCCCTGTTTTTGAAAGTCTTCCTTTTTTTCTGAAACTATATTGGCAGTTTTATAGTAGAGGCCTAAAGAAATACAGGATTCAGGTTACAAAAGCATGTTCTTGAAAGTACATTTTGTATATATATTTTCTGTATTCATTTTCTACTGCTTATTCTTTTGATCATTTTAAGTTTAAAATGTAAAATATTCAGAAATTTACTTTTGTGGTATAATTTTACAAAATATTCATAACTATACCAGGGCCTGTCAGTTACTAATGCTACTCATTTTGGCCTGAGCTGGGTATTGGTTGCCCCTGTAGGAGAAAAACCTATACCTATGCAAAGAGATTAGCTATAAGCAAAGTGCATATAATTAAGGGGACAGATATTGTTTAACAAATATACCAAAAGATGTATTCTTACAAAACATAATTCACTGAATTATCTGTATTTTTCCTTTAGAGTTAATTTTAGAGTGGGAGGTGAGAGGTTATATAATATATAGTATTTTTGTTAGGACAGGGTTTATATTTTAAGTAACCATTGGGTTTTATATAAGGAAATGCCTAGGACAAATGATGATGGTCCTGAACATGACCTTCAGACACTTAAAGGATAAAGTTAAATGTAGAATTGTAAATACATTGATACCCCTCTAAGTTCAGAATAAATTTGTGATTACTTTGTCCATATGTAAACATTGAAATTCTGTGTGTAAAAATAAGAATATATTTCATGTTATTTTATTTTGAAGTGATAAGCGTTTGATGGAACAGAGAAGTTTTTGTTTTTTTCCTTTTTCTTTTCTTTTCTTTTTTTTGAGACTGTCACCCAGGCTAGAGTGCAGTGGTGCCATCATGACTGGCTCACTGCAGCCTTGATTCTCCTGCCTCAGCCTCCTGAGTAGCTGGGACTATGACCACGCCCAGCTAATTTTAATTTTTTTTGTAGAGATGGGGTCTTGCCATGTTGCCCAGGCTGGTCTCAAATTTCTGGACTCAGGCAGTCCACCCACTTCAGCTTCCCAAAGTGCTGGGATTATAGGTGTGAGCCACTGCATCTGGCTGAGAAAAGATTTTCTAAATTGCTAAAGAGAAGTGATTTTGTTTTTTTGCTGCTCCAGTCAACCAAAGGGACACTTTTTGAGGCTCCAAGGCCATGGGGCCTGGGCAGGAGACTGCCCTTCCAGGAAGGAAGAGGCTTATTTGACCTTCTTGGGGCATAGGTTGTTGGTGTGGCCACACTTCCTCTTGCGGCAGTTGACAGCACGGGGGTGCAGGCGAGCATAGCACTTGTGGCAGATCATCTTGTCACAGTTGTATTTCTGGGCAAGCTGACGGAGGGAAGGCTCAATAATGCCACCTCGTAGGCGCAGCACCAGGTGCAGGGTGGACTCTTTCTGGATTTTGTAGTCTGAGAATGTGCGGCCATACTCTAGTTGTTTGCTGGCAAATATCAGACGCTGCTGGTCAGGTGGGATACCCTCCTTGTCTTGAATTTTGGCTTTGACATTCTCAGTGGTGTCACTGGGCTTGACCTCAAGGGTGTTCACAAAGATCTGCATCTCTGCGTCTGCAACTGGGTCGCATCGCTGAAGAAGAGGACCGAGAAGTGATTTTTTTAAAATGCAAGAGCAAGCATCTTTATGCCCTAAATGGAAAATAAAGTCTGGCAGTTACCTCTGTCCAAATACCTACCCACCTTCCCTCCATCCATCCATCCATCCCTCCATCCATCCATCCATCCATCCATCCATCCATCCGTCCATTGTTCCCTCCCTCCTTCTCTCTCTCCTTGCCTTCCTCCCTCCCTTCCTGCCTTCCTCCTTTTGGTTTTTGAGATGGAGTCTCGCTCTGTCATCCAGGCTGCAGTGTAGTGGCACAGTCTTGGCTCATTGCAACTCTGCTTCCTGGGTTCAGGCAATTCTCCTGCCTCAGCTTCCTGAGTAGCTGGGGTTACAGCTGTGCACCACCACGCCTGGCTAATTTTTATGTTTTTAGTAGAGATGGGGCTTCACCCTGTTGGCCAGGCTGGGTTCATCCTTATATATTTAACTCAGTTCTCTGGAATACTTATCTGTCCTCTCCACTTACATGAACATAAGCTTGTGCTCTCTCTCCTGTTATTACTGCATTTCGTTCTTCTTTTCTTAATCCATGAGTTAGTTTATAAATCTCCTTTTCCTTTTAAAAATTTCTTTCATCTTCTTACCATTTTGTAATCATATAATGGTCCTGAAGACCTTAAACAAATTGAATAAAATTTCAGCGTATTGAAAAGATACTGAATAAAATGGTGAGACAGACTTCTCTAGTAGGAGTGTCATGTTTCTCTTCTGACTTTACAACTTACTAGTTCCTGTGACTCTTGCCAAATTGTTAAATTTTTTACACTTCAGTATTCTCAGCTATCAGTAAGAGGCTAAGAAGTCAAAACAATAGAAGGTTATACTGAATTTATGTGCCAAATGCTTTTTAAAGGATTTTATGTGTATTAACTCATGTAATTTGAAAAAATAACTCAAAATTATGAAGCTGATGAACATGGATGCTAAGTGAGTTATCCAAGGTACTAAAATGTACCAAAGCCAGGATTTGAACTTAGTCTGCCGTCAGAGTCTGTATTGTCTACAGTACACTATTCTTCCACTAGTATTTGCTATGCTGAAGACTACAACACTGAATCAAAATTATTTTTACAGATGCATATTTTGTTCTGAGCTCATTATTCTTGATTTAAAGCAGAATTCCCTACATGAATTCAAACAGATGTAATTAGGTAACATAAATGTGATTATAAATGACAGAGCAAATACTAAGTAATGAATTTGTTAGACTAACTAAAGTGACTCAAAATACAGAATGCTGCTTGGGAAGGCCTCTAAAGAAGAGGAATGGGACTTTGAGACTAAGAATTTTGGTGTGAAAGTGGAGCTGTTTTTGCATAGAAAATACCAAAAGATGTTCCACTTGGAGACACAGTATGTATGATTGATTAGTAAGAAGTACAGGTGGGCATAATTGAGGACCCCTGCCTTAAAAAAAAAAAGAGTTTCACTGTGTTTGTCAGGCTGGTCTTGAACTGCCGACCTTAGGTGATCCACCCACCTTTGCCTCCAAAGTGCTTGGATTACAGGAGTGAGCCACCACGCCAGGCCCAATTGAGGACCTGTTAAATTATTGTGAAGAGCTTAGGCTAGAGTGTGGATATTTAGATAAGGAGTAGACAGGTTTGGTAGATAACCTAAAGGTATGAGGTCAGGATTTTAACTTTGATTTGACAGCCAATAGTGTTAGAAGTGAATCAAAACAGTTAAGGTATGTACTCTTCACAAAATAACCCATTGCAAGAGGAAGATGCTGAGTAGATACAGATGGTGTTGAAATGGTACTGGCCTGAGTTAGGGATATATACATGAATGAGAAGGTTCTTTGGAAAACTAGCATGGTTTCTAAATGCTGTGTATACCCATAATTATATTTAGTGTTATTGTATCAGTTTGACAGATCTTTATTCTGTAGATGCTGTGTGTCAGGCATTGTACTAGGGTACTGTGGAGCATACCAAGAAGGTTGAGACATAAGACACAATTTTAGGACAAGGGTAAAGTATAGAAGGTAGTTTAAGAAAGATATAAAATGCTGTTTTATGCAGAGGAAGGAGAGATTATTTCTTAGTACTGTCTGAGAAGGCTTCATGGGTTACGTGGCTTAGCTTTCAGGTAGAGATAAGCAGAGCAAAGTAGGAGAATGCCATTGAGGGCACATCTCTATAAATGAAGGTTAAGTATCTGTGATGAACAGGTATTGTTCTAGATCCTGAGGAAACAGCAGTGAACAAAACACAAAACCTACATCCTGTCCTCATGAAGTGTATATTCTGATTGAGAGGAGGGAATTGAGAGAGGGAAAGGTATGAGTAAATACAAGATAAGAGGTCTTGATTAAAGATATGGGGTAGAAAAGTATTAGGATTTGAGTGGGAATACAGTGGTTAATTTTGTCTGGATAAGATTTTCCTTTTTTTTGAGACGGAGTTTCACTCTTGTTACCCAGGCTGGAGTGCAATGGCGCAATCTCGGCTCACTGCAAACTCCGCCTCCTGGGTTCAGGCAATTCTCCTGCCTCAGCCTCCTGAGTAGCTGGGATTACAGGCATGCGCCACCATGCCCAGCTAATTTTTTGTATTTTTAGTAGAGACGGGGTTTCACTATGTTGACCAGGATGGTCTCAATCTCTTGACCTTGTGATCCACCTGCCTTGGCCTCCCAAAGTGCTGGGATTACAGGCCGGCCAAGATTTTCCTTTTTTAAGTTAATTTGCATTATAAAAATTCATGCTTATCAGACCAGCTTTTGTATTCTAAGCACTGAGTTAAAAACAGATAAGGTACGTACTCTAGTTAAGTGTTGGGGGACCAGTTGGTAAACAAGACAGTCATACCCTCTCCTCATGAAGCTGTTACTCAAGGAGGTTATTTTACAAAGATAAACTGATAAGGTAGGATGACTGTACATTCTTGCTGTTGCTTATTTTCTCTCCATAACTGCTAGTTTCCCATTCATTCTCCAAATAGCATGTGGATGATAAATTGTGTGGTCACAGTAAGATAAGGGTCTTTGAGAACCAAGAGGCCATGTAGCAGAGAGGAATAATAGTCTAGGAATCAGGGAAGGTTTTCTTGAAGAAAATCCATTTACATTTGTATAAAGAAACTGTAGCCAGAAAAATTAAAGACATATTTTAAGTTATAACATACAACTTTAAAACTAGGTCTCCAAACTTCCAGGTTAGTTCAGTAGTGTCCTCCTTTTTCCACAGTTTCACTTTTTGCAGTTTCAGTTTCCTGTGATCAACCACGGTCTAAAATTACTAAATTTAAAAATTCCTGAAATAATCAATTCCTAAGTTTTAAATTGCACGTTATTCTGAGTAGGGCAATAAAGTCTTGTGTCACCCCACTTTGTCCCACCTGGGACATGAATCATCCCTTGTCTATCATATCCACTCTGTATATACTACCAGCAGCCCTCCTGACTGTCGTAGTATTGCTTTATTATTAGTTATTGTTGTTAACCTCTTACTGGGCCTAATTTATAAATTAAACATTATCATAGGAATGCATGTTTAGGAAAAAACACGGTATCTATAGGGTTTAGTACCATCTGGTTTCAGGCAGCCACTGGAGGTCTTGGGACGTATCCCCCTCAGGCAGGTCTGTTGTACCATTTCCCATAAATCTTGTACTAAATAAAAATGATACCCTCATGACTTTGTAAAATAACTTGGCTTTGCTCTTACTGTGTAAAAACATGGTAAAATAGTAACCTAAACAGAAACTTCAGATCTTTAAATGATGCTAAAATATAACACAATCTAAAGTTTTGGGTGCCGGGGATGGTGGCTCATTCCTATAATCCTAGCACTTTGGGAGGCCAAGACAGGAGGTCTCCGCCAGGTGTTTGACACAAAAAAAGACCTGTCTCTGCAAAAATAACAAAAACTAGCTAGACATAGTGGCATGCATCTATAGTCCTAGCTAATTGGGAAGCTAAAGAGTTGAGGCTATCTTGAACCCAGGAAGTCAAAACTGCAGTGAGCCATGATCACACCACTGCATTCTAGCCTGGGCAACAGTGTGAGACATTGTCTCCAACAAATAATGTTTTGGAGGTTGTTTTTAGAATTTCCATTTTCTACCACTGGAAATACCCCTATCCTCACTCCTAGCAGCTTTAAATGTTCAGACAGTTTACATTTCTAACAGGTGTGTATTATTTCCTACTTATAACTCTTTCAAAGTACCTCACCTGGGCTAAGCATCCAACAGAAACAGTAAATATTTGAAATCGCTACCCTTATGCAGTAGTCACATTCAGAGTTTCATCTTCTTCTGTTAAAGTGTTGAATGTATCATTTATATTTTTTAACTGTGAATATGGAACTTAGACACACTACACAGTGACCAGGAAGAGACTATTTCAATTACATGAGACAATACACTCAAAAAGATACACCATCAGTTTACTAATTTAAGAGGAACAGTTGTGTACATGCACACTTGAAAAGAAACAAAGTATGTTTAAGGATTTCTTAGGTTAGGAGTTGAAAATCCAGAAGCCTGCAAAGGAAAAAACAAAAGCAAAGGGTCTGAAAAAACACTCCACCAATAGAAAAAAAGGAAAGATATGGCAAAAACTGTGCAAACCCTCCTATATCCTACCGTCACTCTGAAGGCTGTGTACTACAAATATCAGCAGCTTTCTCCTTGAGGACTTTTTTTCTGATTGGAAAGCATGCGTTGGCTTCATGCAAGGCAAGCCAAAAGTGCTAAAACGCTAAAATCCCTAGAAGCATCACTCAATTAATGAGAAGGAAGAGCTGATGGATAAATATCCCACTCACTGGCATGCAGTCCTAAACTGCCTCCCGGATTCTCCAGTGGGATTGAGCTTTAGGTGCTAACACTTGTAACTGGGTAATTTACCCTTATTGGCTTCATTCCCTGTCTTGTCTCCTTTGTTGAACAGGCTGGTCTCAAACTCTTAGCCTCAAGTGATCCTCCCATCGTGCTAGGATAACAGGTGTGAGCCACCCCATCCAGCCTGCCTTCAATCTTGAAGAGTATTTTTATTAGATATACAGTCTGGATTGATAATTCTGTTTTA